AGTTAGGTCTCTTCGTTTTCAGAATAACAAAGAATACCGAAAAAGTGAGAAAAGCGCATAACCCTTACAAACAGTAATAAGACAATAAGAACAATAAAAAATCTCAAAGTGATGTGAAATGTTGCTCACATAACGACGCATGCTTATAAATCTACACTCATTATCGGCGTGGTGTCAGTTCACGGTTATACGATCAGTTGGAACATTGCTATGATGTCCTTGTACCGAGAAGAAATACGACTGCTATCTCGGCAAGAAGTCGTGGAAGAAAGGAAACAGCTATTCCGACTGCTCAACGGCGACGCCTTTTTTCCGGAGAAATCGTGGCCTAAGGATATTCGCTTAATATTCTGGAAGAAACCAATGGGTGATAAGGAGACATTCAAACTTCTGCTGTTTTTCCACGGCAACGGGTGCAATCCTGAAATCATCAGTAGATGGATTCTTCTAGCCAGTCCTGGGCCTCCTCATCGCAAGCTACAGACGAGAAAAGAGCACGGCAAAGACAATTTGTCAACGACAACGTTGACAGTAAAAGACATCAATGGTTTTCCTACGACCTTGATTATAGCAAACTGTTGTACCTCAATTGGTTACCACGACAAACCCCACGTCAACAGTGAAAAGTGACTTCAGTCACTTGAATATAAAACGGCTCTTTTCGGAGCCACCAAATACAATACAAAGTCATAACCAACAGCATGATATAACCACCTTTTTCGGAAACTCTTCATTGAAAACTTGTCTTGGTTTAAACACTTCCATGTAGATAATGACATTGCGCTAAGTAATTTCAGAAGTTAATTTCACAGTGAGTTGAGCACAGTTGTTAAAACCTGTTGCCACAATACCACTTTGCTAGTTTCGCGCCTTTCCGCGTTGTTTCGGGTTCTTTTAAACAAGTAAGAATAATTTTACCAAAAAATAGTGCTTGCGTACAGGAAAGAAGACATTCATGTTGTTGTTTGCTCGTGAATCACAATAAACAGAACGAACACGACAGTGACGCGTTACCTTTCAATTTTAATGTTCGTACGATGTTTGTTATACTCGCAGCACCTTGAGATATTATTAGCGCTAGATATATAGGTCGCCCTTGCTTTGTAACTATTAGCGCGTTTCTACTTTGTGTGAAAGCGAACTTGCTTTGCGTGGTTAGCCTATAGAACGAGGAATATTCATAAGAATTATGGCGCGTTTTTAATTGGTGTAACAGCGAACTTGTTTTGCGCGTTTGGCTTATAGAACGAGGAATATTCATAATAATTATAACGCGCTTTTACTTGGTGTAAAAGCAAACTTGTCATTGCGTGGTTGGCTTATAGAACGGGGAATATTCATAATAATTATTAGCGCGTTTCTGCTTGGTGTAAAGGCGAACTTGTTTTGCACCAATAGAACCACTGGAATGGCATCATTTTCTGTTGGTACCAATCGTACCATTGGTACCAATGGACCNTCATAACCAACAGCATGATATAACCACCTTTTTCGGAAACTCTTCATTGAAAACTTGTCTTGGTTTAAACACTTCCATGTAGATAATGACATTGCGCTAAGTAATTTCAGAAGTTAATTTCACAGTGAGTTGAGCACAGTTGTTAAAACCTGTTGCCACAATACCACTTTGCTAGTTTCGCGCCTTTCCGCGTTGTTTCGGGTTCTTTTAAACAAGTAAGAATAATTTTACCAAAAAATAGTGCTTGCGTACAGGAAAGAAGACATTCATGTTGTTGTTTGCTCGTGAATCACAATAAACAGAACGAACACGACAGTGACGCGTTACCTTTCAATTTTAATGTTCGTACGATGTTTGTTATACTCGCAGCACCTTGAGATATTATTAGCGCTAGATATATAGGTCGCCCTTGCTTTGTAACTATTAGCGCGTTTCTACTTTGTGTGAAAGCGAACTTGCTTTGCGTGGTTAGCCTATAGAACGAGGAATATTCATAAGAATTATGGCGCGTTTTTAATTGGTGTAACAGCGAACTTGTTTTGCGCGTTTGGCTTATAGAACGAGGAATATTCATAATAATTATAACGCGCTTTTACTTGGTGTAAAAGCAAACTTGTCATTGCGTGGTTGGCTTATAGAACGGGGAATATTCATAATAATTATTAGCGCGTTTCTGCTTGGTGTAAAGGCGAACTTGTTTTGCACCAATAGAACCACTGGAATGGCATCATTTTCTGTTGGTACCAATCGTACCATTGGTACCAATGGACCATTGGAATTGCCCTGTACCCAGCCAGGTCACATGGGAAAATAATCAAGGTCCCCTTAATGAGATGCATATTCACCAATAGAACCATTGGAATGACATCCTTTCCTATTGGTACCAATAGTACCATTGGTACCAATGGACTATTGGAATTGCCTTGTACCCAGCCAGGTCACATGGGAAAATAATGAAAGTCCCCTTAATGAAATGCATATTCACCAATAGGACCATTGAAATGATATCCTTTTCTATTGGTACCAATCCTACCATTGGTACCAATGGACCATCGGTTTGACGAATCGTATCCTTTTGTGTATATTGGACATGTGTGCCCGGTTTGCTGCCGTAACAAATTAAGAAATTTCACAACTAATCAAGCAAGCTATTTCCGAAATACATGAAGAAGGTGACGAAGTTCGGTTTGGAAGTTTTAACAGGTAAAGCTTTGTCTTTTTGACTTGAATAGTTATCTATAAAACCGGTGAAAAAGTTTTTTGTTTACAAATGAAAATTAAGCTTAAGTCTTGCGTTACTTTATTTAGTTGACTTGTTCATGAATAAGCTTAAAAGTAAATTTAATAACCTTTTTGACAGAATTATTTTAAATACAAACAGAATTCACAACTCCTTTTGAAGAAACTTCCCCGCAAGAGCTAAACAAACGCCTTCAAAAGTTTTATTTGTCGCTACGAAAAAGCGACGACCGCAGCCGTTCGGTCATCGCGCGCCAAAATTGTAATCGTTGGCAACAGTAAATGAGTTAAAAATCATCATTTTGTTCTCAATTATTTCACTGTTTTAGTATATACTAAAACAATTATTCACCGCAGTGTCGGTGGCTAGTAGCTTCGCGGCCTCGGCCTCGCATTATTCAGCCGCAATTTCACTTAACTGGTATGTTATTCCTGATAGTCATGTATGTTGTACAATTCGTATATTTTAGCATCAGACCAAAAATAAATAGGTTTTTGTTTTTTTCGAGCAACTTTTGAACAACTTTCCTTACAAAAACCAGTTTTCGATTGTTTTTTGAGCAACTTTTTGAGAAATTGCGGGAAGCCTTTTGGAAAATCTCGAGCAACTTGTGGAAAGCCCTAATGTCTGCATTTAAAATCCGATTAAGCATGCGTGCAGGTACTGGCGCGCGCTTGCCATTAAGCATGTGGCACCCACAACTTCAAATTTAGACTAAGACGTGCAGCGGAATATACCCAATAGGGTTTTTCCCATTTTACTGGAATTACTAAGGTCATTGGGACAACATAAGCCCCTATAGGTGTTTTAGGGGATAGCTATGAGTCGGCAATAAGCGCTGAAACTCGAGGACGGCGATTGAAGGAACATAGTGTTCCAACTACATTTGCATCAGGCGTTATTTTCATCGTGTTGTCTAAAAAGTTAACACTTTTTGAGCCCCGGAAACAACGAATCCCCGAAAAAAGCCAGCCCCAAAGATCCCTATAGTTNGCAGAATGGGCACATTTATGTTGTATGCTTTCAAACTGGCATTGTTCAAGCAGATTTGAGTGGTCCCCCCTCTGAATCCTTCCAAAATTTTCAGTGATCCCCCCCTTTTGGGCTCTCAGTTACGACTGATCCCCCCCTCTGTTCTCCTAAAAATCAAGTGATCCCCCCCAAAATCCTCCGACCCCCCCAGGTGATAAATAATGACCGGTCCCTAAGACGTCCAGCGGAATATACCCAATAGGGTTTTTCCCATTTTACTGGAATTACTAAGGTCATTGGGACAACATAATCCCCTATAGGTATTTTAGGGGACAGCTATGAGTCGGCAATAAGCGCTGAAACTCGAGGACGGCGATTGAAGGAATACAGTGTTCCAACTACATTTGCATCAGGCGTTATTTTCATCGTGTTGTCTAAAAAGTTAACACTTTTTGAGCCCCGGAAACAACGAACCCCCGAAAAAAGCCAGCCCCAAGGATCCCTATAATTGGGAACTTAACGTTTTAATTCGACAAGCCCCGCTGTTTAGAGCTTGAAGGTTATTTTCGTAAAAAAAAAAAAAGAAAGTAGTGGAAACGCTCGAGTGAATACTGTTCAACATCGTTTCTTGTACTGTTCATCGATTGTTACGAGATATGTAAGAGGTTAAATTGCCGTTACTGTTAAAAAAGACGACTAATATACTCTCTCCAACAACTAAGTGATGCTCAAGTTTAGCGCCTTAACAATATAGCATTTAACTTCCCTCTTACCAGCCAAAGGGTATTAAACACAGAAATTGATGTAACTTTGAATCAGTTGGCTCTAGGCGCACATCTGGAGACAGTTGCAGCTGGAGGCAAGGACTGTGCGAGCGTTTCTCAGTATAGGTAAGTTCGTGTATGACACACCTTGAAAGAAAGGTATTTTACTACCCATTTAGCTCAAATCTCGCTTTCTACGAGCAAGTAAGTCTGGCTTGTAAGCTTGTATTGACAGTGAATACCTATGGCTTTAATTTTGTCTTTAATTATCGTTCTAAAAACCCAAATAAAGGCTTTTAAGCATTCTCCATAAGTCATTTGAGAAATTCTTATTCGAAACTGATGGAACATAACGTGTGAAAGACTCTTGAGAAGCGAACACACACTCGGCAACACAGAACATGTCCGCGCCGGTGTTATGAACGAATCTCCAATATGGCAAACTATCGAGTACTTAATTTTAAGTTGTGAAAGGTTTTTGTCACTTCCGCGATTATCACTACTTCGATATGTTGTATCTAAATGAGGCGTGTCACTTGCCACACTCGATGCAAACCATAATATCATGAGAAGGATATGTTACATCGAACTGGCATCGAAGTTAAAACAGTACGAAGAAAAAGATGAAATAAGTACAAGAAGGCATTATGCCAGTAAGAAGTAAGGTCAGTCTGAAGATTCATGAAGAACATAAATTAAGTAGGAGTCGTTATTGTCAGTGCAATAGTGTTGACGCCTACCAGATGGAAACTAGTATTCACTGCACTTGGGCGTCTCACTTCAAACGCCAAAAAAACCTTGTGACAGTTTGTGGCATTGTACTTCTGGACGTTTTAATTACTATTTACCTAAAATTAAAACCTCTTTACTAATCCCACACCATGTGTTTTGTGTACATCAACATCTTTCTTCCTTTTTTTCTCACTGAAAGTCTCAAAACTTGCAACAAAGTCCTCATAAAGAACAATCACGTTCGTCTCTCCAGCGCTTCAAAAATGTCAAAGCGCTGCTCCTAAAATCAAGCTTTTTCTCCTTGATATTTCAATAATGGCACAGCCTTGACGATCAAAATGCGTTAAATCTTTTTCGCTGGCCATAAAGCAGACATCTTTGTGTGAGACGGTCCTTTCCATAGGAGCCTTGCGTGACCTGTTAAATGATTGACTTGTACGTGTTTCCTCAGCATTCACATTCAGTGGAACAATTGGTCGAGGAAAGTCTGTGCTACAACAACAATACAACGAATAAAGAAGAAGAGCATTGTCTTATCTGAAGGAGTAAAAACTTAAGATGGTAAGATTAGAAGCTTACACTTCCGAATGCAATAGAGCAACTTTCAACGTCCCCGATCAGCTATACACCACAACCACCCTATCCAATATAGTAACCCATACTTCGACAAATTTGTAGAACTGATCTTATCTGTTTTTACATCAGAAGTTCAAAGCTTTCTTTCTGTGCTTTGCTGTCTTTGTTGTTATCACCTCAGGAGCGACGCTGTTTGAATGGGAAGCAGACGAGAAAAAGGTAAGACGGACTTGCTGCCGTTTTTATTCATTCTTGGAAATTTAGTATCCACTGAAGGTGGGGGGGAATTCAAAATAAAGCAATAATGTCGTGTTGTAATCCAATCTAAAATCTACAATCCTGTTGGAGACGGACTAATATGCATTCTCTTACAAGATTCAATTTTTGAAAGTCTGGACTACTAGTGTCGCTTTGCAAACAAAATGAGCGCAATCGTAGATGTAAGCCTCCTTTCCAGTAGATCAAGGTTCAAAGTGCCGGTTTTGTGTTGACCAAGGCAACATTACACCTTTCTCAGTCTGCGGATAAAATGCTACCAGTACGGCCATTCAAATAAACGCTACTTGGTAATGTTTCCATCAGTGATATTGTTCGTTGTGCTACAAAAGGTAAACACTTTCTGACTTTTGAGACTACTGAAGAATCTTCGCATAAGATGTACATGCCTCATGAAGAGTTTTTGTGCTTCTTACAAGTACAAATCAGGAGTTTCTAAACAAGAAGGATTGACAATATGTTTTTTTCCTTGCAGGGGACGACATCGGAATACAAAGTTGAAGTTAAGGATGGAAACAAAGAAGTAAATGAAACAATTAAGATCGACACCGGAAAGAAAACAGAAACAGTCCACGTTTCAAGTGAGGGCCGCGGCGCTGGAAAAGTCGATATTCTTTTCGATTTCAAGCAGGTGAGTAACTGGGAGGGACTTAGTGATTAGGAGCCTCCGTTTTCTTTCCTTCCTTTCTTCTCTTTTTGCAGTTTGGCCTTCTTTTCAGTAGTATAGGGCGCACCGGTTAGGCCTCTTTTTTTGGGGGGGGAGTCTCATTAAGGTGGGGGGAAATAAATTAACGTCGCTGACGTCATAGGCTATTGTCTTGATCTCATGAATAAAATGCGCAGGGATGCCATTAAGATAAGGTCATGTGCTATTCTTAGTTGGTTTAGGATATCTAGTTACTTTAAGGTCGATNGCCACTTGCCACACTCGATACAAACCATAGTATCATGAGAAGGATATGTTACATCGAACTGGCATCGAAGTTAAAACAGTACGAAGAAAAAGATGAATTAAGTTCAAGAAGACATTATGCCAGTAAGAAGTAAGGTCAGTCTGAAGTTTATGAAGAACATAAACTAAGTAGGAGTCATTAATGTCAGTGTAATAGTGTTAACGCCTACCAGATGAAAACTAGTATTCGCTGCACTTGGGTCTGTCACTTTATACGCCAAAGAAACCTCGTGACAGTTTGTGGTATTGTACTTTTGGGTTTTTTACTTACTATATAACTGAAATTAAAATTTCTTTGCAAATCCCTACACCACGTGTTTTGTGCACATAAACATCTTTCTTACTTCTTTTTTGTCACTGAAAGTCTCAAAACTTGCAACAAAGTCCTCATAAAGATCAATCGCGTTCGTCTCTCCAGCGCTTCAAAAATGTCAAAGCGCTGCTCCTAAAATCAAGCTTTTTCTCCTTGATATTTCAATAATGGCACAGCCTCGACGATCAAAATGAGTTAAATCTTTTTCGCTGATCATTAAACCAGACATCTTTGTGTGAGACGGTCCTTTCCAAGGGAGCCTTTTGTGACCTGTTAAATGATTGACTTGTACGTGTTTCCTCAGCATTCACATTCAGTGGAACAATTGGTCCAGGAAAGTCTGTGCTACAACAACAATACAACGAATAAAGAAGAAGAGCATTGTCTGATCTGAAGGAGTAAAAAGCTAAGATGGTAAGATTAGAAGCTTACACTTCCGAATGCAATAGAGCAACTTTCAACGTCCCCGATCAGCTACACACCACAACCACCCTATCCAACATAGTAACCCATACTTCGACAAATTTGTAGAACTGATCTTATCCGTTTTTACATCAGGAGTTCAAAGCTTTTTTTCTGTGCTTTGCTGTCTTTGTTGTTATCACCTCAGGAGCGACGCTGTTTAAATGGGAAGCAGACGAGAAAAAGGTAAGACGGACTTGCTGCCGTTTTTATTCATTTTTGGGAATTTAGTATCCACTGAAGGTGAGGGGGCATTCAAAATAAAGCAATAATCTCGGGTTGTAATCCAATCTAAAATCTACAATCCTGCTGGGGACGGAGTAATATGCATTCTCTTACAAGATTCAATTTTTGAAAGCCTGGACTACTAGTGTAGCTTTGCAAACAAAATGAGCGCAATCGTAGATGTAAGGCCAGTAGATCAAGGTTCAAAGTGCCGGTTTTGCGTTGACCAAGGCAACATTACAACTTTCTCAGCCTGCGGATAAAATGCTACCAGTACGGCCATTCAAATAAACGCTACTTGGCAATGCTTCCATCAGTGATATTGTTCGTTGCGCTATACAAGGTAAACACTTTCTGACTTTTGAGACTACTGAAAAATCTTCGCATAAAATGTACATGCCTCATGAATATTTTTTGTGTTTCTTACAAGTACAGATCAGGAGTTTCCAAACAAGAAGGATTGACAGTATGTTTTTTTCCTCGCAGGGGACGACATCGGAATACAAAGTTGAAGTTAAGGATGGAAACAAAGAAGTAAATGAAACAATTAAGATCGACACCGGAAAGAAAACAGAAACCGTCCACATTTCAAGTGAGGGCCGCGGCGCTGGAAAAGTCGGTATTCTTTTCGACTTCAAGCAGGTGTGTACAATAGAGGGACTTAGTGATTAGGAGCCTCCGTTTTCTTTCCTTCCTTTCTTCTCTTTTTGCAGTTTGGCCTTCTTTTCATCTTTCCTTTCCTTTTGAGTGACTGTCATTGATCAGTGACTACTAATGATTTCTTCGCCCATGCATACCGTAAATCGTACGTGCCAACCGGCAAGTTAGCTAATTCACTGTCTTCTTTGTTTCTTGACGCAGAACATTGCTATGTACCGACTGTCTAAATCGAAAGCCTGTTTTTTGAGCGACTCTACTGGCAATCAGTTAAAGCCTGCCGATCTCAAAAAACTGCTTGAAATGGTAAGTGAGTACACGACAATAATTTCTTAAAATAAACAAATTGCTTTCTGTTATTTGGTTATTTATTTTCTGTGCACGTTTCCCTCGCGGACGGCAATTTCGAAAAACTAGTTGTCGTTCACTTTCTCATCATCATCTTGTCTGCGATATTATCATTAAGGTTTATGCATCTTCGCTTTCTTTTCCTTCATGAATCGAAGCCAGGTACCAGCAAGGGAAAAATCCAGGGGAAAACTGAATATGTGGTTGTTGGCACTCTCGATGATCGCTCGTTCCTGAGTGATGAAATGGCCACCATGTGCACTAAACTGCCGATTTATCACATCAAGCAGAAAAACCCCAAGGTCTACCGTAAAGTTGAACTGGAGTTGCTTCAAGTGAAAATAGAGAATATTAATAAGAATTTTAAGCCGAAGGATGACAAGCGTGAGCTTAGACGTAGTAAAAAGAAAGCAGCGTGGCCAAGTGGTTAGAACACTGAACTTGCAATCCGGAGGCCCCGCCCTGACTTGTACCTGGATTTGTTCTCGGTAGCCCCGAGTTCAAATCTGCTATCATGCTTGTAAACTGCCATTTGCTTTTCCTTCGACCAGCTGGGATTCTTAACTTTATCATGTTTATTTGAAATACTTGTTTCAGTTGTTTGCATTACCTGTAATACAGACGTCTCTAATCGTTCCTCACCGCTAGAGAGGGACTCCATCCGTAGCGGCTAGTAGCGAGGAGAGAAGATGTAATGGCAGGTAATTAGAGAGATTAAGATTCACGTTTACGGCAAACGGCAAACGTCACATTCAAGTTGCAATTCTTATGGATAAAACTGACGTGAAACTACCGTATTTCTGTGTAGAAGTAATAAACAGTAAACGACGATTAAGGGGAAAACATGATCACGTGGTTCAAATTCACGTTTGGCGTTTGACGTACATGTAATTCATAACCTCTCTAGCGAGATTAAGATTAACGTGTACGCTAAACGGCAGAAGTGAGTTTGTACCACGTGACCAGGTTTTCCCCTTACTTTCCGTTTACTCTCTATTGCTTCTACACAAAAATAAGTAGTTTTATGCCAGTTTTAACCAAAGGAATCGTTCGGGACTGTTTTTATCTGCTTATTTCCTATTCTGAGAAATTCTCAACTTGAATCTGACGTTTGCCGTTTGCCGTTTGNTTTATTTGAAATACTTGTTTCAGTTGTTTGCATTACCTGTAATACAGACGTCTCTAATCGTTCCTCACCGCTAGAGAGGGACTCCATCCGTAGCGGCTAGTAGCGAGGAGAGAAGATGTAATGGCAGGTAATTAGAGAGATTAAGATTCACCTTTACGGCAAACGGCAAACGTCACATTCAAGTTGCAATTCTTATGGATAAAACTGACGTGAACCTACCGTATTTCTGTGTAGAAGTAATAACCAGTAAACGACAATTAAGGGGAAAACATGATCACGTGGTTCAAATTCACGTTTGGCGTTTGACGTAAATGTAATTCATAACCTCTCTATTAACGAGATTAAGATTCACGTTTACGCTAAACGGCAGAAGTGAGTTTGTACCACGTGACCAGGTTTTCCCCTTACTTTCCGTTTACTCTCTATTGCTTCTACACAAAAATAAGTAGTTTTATGCCAGTTTTAACCAAAGGAATCGTTCGGGACTGTTTTTATCTGCTTATTTCCTATTCTGAGAAATTCTCAACTTGAATCTGACGTTTGCCGTTTGCCGTTTGAGGTAAACGTGAATCTTAATCTCTCTATTGTTTGCTCGGCCCCACTAGCTTTTAAGGATTGAAAATCCTGCGCAGCGTATTCACTTAATGTTAATTTGAAAATTGTAAAATTGACGATGTATTTTAAAAGTTTTAAACGACGTTACGGCAATGCTACTTTCTTCAGGGTACAAGACGAAATACCGTTAAAAAGTTCGTTGAAATTAGCTCACGTGCCTGATTGTATACTAGCGAGCGTGCCATATGAAATAGCGCGCGCCGGCGCGCTAGTAAGCAAAAAAAGAGTGATTCACGTAAAACTAAAGTTTTGCTTAAGGCCACTAGGACCCACAGACCCATATTTCAAAATCAACCTCATCTCCTGCTTCTTACGGAATTCCTGGTTGGCTAGGCCTGCCCACAATACAGCAGCGTTCATGTCCTCCAGTGTATGATTTGTTTGATTGAAGTGGGCAGGTACAGGAAGGCCATTCCTTCCGTTGATGACATCTCTGCGGTGATCTCGAAAGCGGTCCGCCAACCTGTGTCCAGTCTCCCGAATGTACATTGTCGATGGACATTTGGTGCACGACAGACAATAGACCACGTTTTCCGTGATTCAGGAAAAATGTCCCGTGATGTTAACATGTTTAACTGCTCAATAGTAAGAATAATAATTACAGTGAACATACAATAGCAACCAAGAGGAGATACTCTAACAAAGATGCTGACTGACATAAACATTTTCTTTCTTTTTCTCAGGAAAGAAACGTGCCGTGTACTGTCTTGTAGCAACGATAATAGTTTGTTGCCCAAGGGAAGTAATACGTGTTTACAATAGATGCGACTACAGGGGCGTAGCTACGGGGGGTCCTGGGGTGCCCGTGACCCCCACTTCGTAGGCCTTCTCTAATTTTTGCGAAGTACGTGTCATTTCTCGAGCGGTTTGCACGGAGACTATGTATTTTCAAGGGAAAAGGCATTAATTTGCCAGAGAGTGGATAAAGAGGAATAAAAAGGCTATCAAAATTAAAGTCTGTATTTAAAGGTATGTTTTAAAATTGCAAATGAATCTGCGTATGATGCGTACGCGAATGGACATTTTTTGCAAAAGAAACAAAGAAATATTTCTTCAGCCTACTTTAATAATAAGACAACTTAAATAGACTGGTACGGATAATATATAGATCAACAGAGATTCAATCCAGTGTTCTTACGAAGTGTTCTATGAAAGAGGCGCTTAAGAGTTTTTTCTTCGTTTTCGTTTTCAAAAACAGGTATTGTTCATGTTTTAATTACATCTTACATGAAAAAACTGGAACGTTCTCCCCTCAATAAATTCTAGAATGCATTTACAAAACTCCTTCATACGCCTCGTTTGCTATTGCACGGAAATCAATATTGTTCTCAAAAAGATGTACCCACAAAAACGTATGTAAGGTTGATCAGGAACCTGGGGTGGGGAATTGTCTCCTTCTGCGTGCTCAGGGGTTGGAATAGACCAACATGACAGAAAAAATAGCAAATCCCCGTGGGGGGGGGGGGACTGATAACAGGTCAAATTGAAGCATGCATTACAAACACTGTCGGGTAGGCAGACAGGTAGATTTAAATCGTTTTCCTCTGCAGTATTGAAAGTAATGCAATGGGATTTACTTACGCACTTGAAACTGAGTTTAGTTGGGTAAACTAATTGAAAGTGAAATAAAGCCACTTGAAAGTTATAATATGTGTGTGTCCAGTGTTATAATCTCGCGGACTAAGCCCCGCGGAATGGTCATTAGTTCCCTGAGAAGGAAGGAAGGAGGTGGACCAACAAGGCGAGAAAAACATTTTGACCCAGAATTGGTGGCCTTCCCCTGTTAAAAGCGATAAAAATTAACCTATACCCGGTCTGAGCCCAAAAACCATGGCCCTCCTCAAAGGAAAAAAACAAGTGGCTTACAAACAAAGCATAATTAGGAAGAAGGAGAAATAAAACACTAAAAAGCTCTGCAAATACTGCGAGTTCCAGGTGACAATTGAATCCATGACCATCCGAGGTCGCGCCGCGTCACGTTGTAGTCGTTCAACGAAGGCAAAGAAATGTACAAAAAAGCATGAAGCACGAGCTAAGTTGTTGTTTTGCTAAACTAAAACTATTCCTTTTTTGCCGTTCTCGTTGCTGTCGCCGTCGTCGTTGCTTAAGCTCCCAGTTGACACGTTAAGTGCGCGAAGAATCCATAATCAGGGTGTTCATTAGATCGGAGTTCGACTGAGTAAAATGAAAGTCAGTGCTTCAATCAACATTTTACCTTAATGAAAGTAACAAGACGGCTTCACAAGACACTAAGGACTGCGACAGTCCGTCGGGATTTTTATGCAAGCAAAAAATACGGAGCGCGCGAAAAGGTGTAAATGTTGATCTCTTGTCGCGCCGAGTCTTTGTTCCACTAAGTGTGTAGAAAAAGCAGTCCAGAAAGTGTTTAGTCTCACTGCCTCAACTCGTTTCCCTAAGCCAAATTAACTGAACGAAACTTGAATTTGCTGGAATGAACCGTTTCTGAGCCTGTGGATAAAATCTTGAATAGTGACAGAAGCATAGCCTATGCTTGGAAAAAAAATTTTAAAAAAATTGCACTTTATTTGAGTGTCAGTGTATTTAACACTAAAGTACTAACTGGGGACACTATATTTTGCGTCTCCAACTGGAGACGGGACAACCATCTTACGTGGTCATCAGAGCCACGCAAAGGTCTAGCCTGTTGCAGTGCAAAGAGAGTAACTTCATTTCTCAGTTATTTTAAGACCCTGAGTATTGGTCCGGCCCCGCGAATCGAGCCCGCGACCTCCCGCTCTGCAGTCAACACGCTCTGCCGACAGTGCTAACACTGCCGTTAGCTCAGTTAGCCCAACGAGTCTAATTCCAGACTCGTTGACTAAACTAGTTGTATTTAATTGATGCTTCAGGTGGTAAACGTTAAAACCATAGCTGCTGAAAGGGTTGTGGAGTTTTTAAACACCCTATTGTGTGCGTGAATAAATCCTTTACTACGATCGAAAAAATAAAAGTTACTGGGTGCCGTGTTTTCGTTACTTAGCTTGAACTCGGCACCTATAACACTAAGAGTTTACATTCTAGACTCGTTGACTAAACTAGTTGTATTTAATTGATCGTGGACGAAACTGTCGCGTAATAATATTCTTTGTTTTGTCCGTTTGCTCGCTCTTATCATCTCGGCTGTTCTGTGGAAATAACAAAAATGTAAAGTAAGATACAGTGGAACCCGGTTAATTCGACACCATATGGACATGCCATATAGTGTCCGTGTTCGTTTTAAGCGGGCTCAAAAAAAAAGGTCACTGACACATTTTATCGATTTAGAAACTAAAGCAGACATTTTTACGAGAAAACCTTGTTTAATTTCTTAATTTTAACTGCAATAAGTTTATTCTAAGGAACCTCACAATCAAAGTTTATCATTATCTAAGACTCAATGATTACCTCCTCTAACTTGTATTGTTCTTGAAACATGACAATGGGATCTGTGACTTTGTACTGATGCTTTTACTTTGTGATTCATCCGGGTGGACTTAAGGTGATGTTACACGAAACGATTCGCAACGACGATTTTTAGCGCAACACAGCATTGCAACATTGTTGCCATCGCCCAGAATGCTATTGCCTTTTGCGACATGTACTTACAGTGCGCAGTTTCTCAATGTGCGGCAGAATAACTGAATAAATAAGCTTTCGGAAAGCCAGCTAAATACCGACCACTCTCGTAAAAGAATCGGTAGCTGTCAATCAAACGGTTTAATGCGTAAAGTGTATTAGATCTGACTGCGTGCGACGGCCAGACAAATGTTTGTCAAATGGCAAAAGAAATGAGCGGAACACTTACCTCTATTTCATCGTTGCGTTTCAGTTTCGTAAACCGGTCAAAGCAGCTCATATAAAAGACGCGCTCTTTTACTCGATTGGTTTTCGTTGCGTTGGTCGCGGAGTTAAAAATCTCAAGTAGTTTAAGGCCTGGGACTAAGGCGTTTACTTGTGGAAAATGATTGATCGGCTATAACTTTGGCATAGACAATGGCGCTGAATCAGAATTTGGCAGACATAAAGAACTCACCGTCATTGACATTTTAAAGTATAAACATTGTGTTAATAAGTCACGTGATAAGTCACGTGACCATTTTGCTAAAAATCGTGAATTATTGACCAATTGGTGGCCGGTTTAAGAAAAGAAATTGGGAAAAACATTTTTCTAATTTATATTAAATATTTCTAACCGCTTCACGTTTGGAATCACCGTCCATTGCACTTCAATGAAAAATTATGAGGGAAACATCATTTTAATGCCCAAATTTAATCTCGAATTATTTAAAACTTTAATTTTAAACTTCTTGTTCATTCATTCTAAACGTAGAAAGTTAGGTGTGTTTACCCTCTTTCAGAAATACCAATTTGTCTTGGCACACGTTAATTAATTTAAGGATACATGCTATCGAAACCAAGCTGGATTTTGTTTCTTTTGACGATAAAAACCTTCAAAGACGACGAAAATTTGTTGGTGAACGTGACTTTCCCATACAAAACTCTTACACTAGTCAGGTTCAATGTCTGAGTCACAGCAAGGACCAGAAATTTGTGACGTTCTCAGTTCAAAGCGCTATTCACTGAGAGGGACAGGGAAAACGCCGTACAGGGACTAGGCAAAAAGGCTACTGATAGCTGAGTTTTTGACAGTCGAGGAAACGCTATAATCATGATAATATGTCGGGATTTAAGAAAGGCCTTTGATACGGAAGGCCGCACGATATTACTGTCTAAATTAAGCCTAATTTTTAGAATCGAAAGCAAGTATTCTCTGTTGGTGGTTCACTCTCCAAAACCTGTTCCTTCCAATGTGGTATCCCTCAAAGGAATATATTCAGTCCTCTATAGACCTTTGTCACCCAGCGACCATTTTGTCTCCTGAGATTAAAAAAGCTTTAAATTTGCTCGTTCTTGCTGCGAGACTAGCCGTCCCAGGGGGGGGGGGTACTGCCTTATATGGGCTATATAGGTATGTGCCGCTGTGAAGGGTATGGCTTTCAAGAAGTTTACTCTAGGATAGGGTATATAAATCAGAGCGTTTGGGTCTAGAATAGGGTATCATTTTTCAGGAAACTGATCAGTTGGTTGAAGATTTTATCTAGACTAGGGATTGCGTTATAAGGTTTTGTTTTGGCTAGACTGTGCTAGTGACCTCAATATAGTTTCTGGAAAACAGCTACTCTAGGACAGGGGGGAATTGGGGAGTTTACTCTAGTACAGGGTAGCAAAATTCAGCTGAACTAGCCCTGGTATAGGTAAGGGTTCCATGGTCCCAGCGGCACTTCCCCACCCAGAAATTCCTAAAGTACCCCCCCTCCCCCCCCGGGCTAGCCGTGCAAATATAAAGCTCTTTTTAATCTCCTAGGACAAAATGACCGCCGCGTGACAAAGGTCTATTGCTTTTGATAAACATAAACGACTTAACAAAACAAATTGCTAATCTAACTCTTATCCAAAATTGTATTCAGTGCTAATGTACACATCTACATAGGCCGGATAACGATGTGTCATTCAGTCCTGTCTGAATGAAGATTTGTAATTTGCATTTGTACACCTAAGCGGGTTACCTCACCTACCTGGGGTACCCCACCTCCATGTAAACAGGTCCTTAAAAGCAAGGCTAAGTGCAAAGCCATTGACAAGAAAATGATTTTTTATTCTCACTCAAGTGAAACTCATTATCGCGAAGAGGATTTTGTACTTAGCCTCGCTTTGAATGTGAGAGGGTTTGGAACTCGGAAATGGTCTAAGTTTGGAGGAAGAAGAAATTCAAATTCAAAGCTCAGAAAATATTCCGAGCTCCAGGTGAGACCTGAACTCATGACCCTCCGAGTTCTAGATTGGATGCTATAACTACTGAGCTACTGGCAGCTCTATGGTAAGGAGGATTGAAATTCTATTATAATTACATCAGCCACTTTTGCATAACTTTTTGGCGTAGCGAGGAACTTTCCAAAAGTGCGCAAGTGTTCAGATTTATCTTCACCTGTCTCCCGAGTCGTTTCCAGGTGGGTGACTTGATTAAATTTGCACTAGAATGTCCTCCTAATCAACAGCAAATCGAATGTAATTGATTATTTTGATAAAAGCTTTTCTGGTTTGACAACTACCAAACCCCTAGTGCTCGTCATTTCTGAATATAAGTTAATGGTACGGAGCCCGACTCAACTTTTCCTTGTAACATACCATATCAACGCTCCTTGACAGACAGACACGCAAGTTATAGCAATGGTAATGTTTTGTCGCATAATTGTGTGTAGATTGTAGCTGTCATAATAATCTAATTTTGAAATTGCGTTCGGATTGTACATAACGCAGACTGGCGGGCATTCAACTCAACAAACCGGGCGGCAGGTCAATAATCCACCTCTTCAGTTAAAACCAGGCTCATTATAGTTCCGAAACTGCACATAAACTACCACTGAAGTGAACATACATGTATGTACTTTTTATATTCAACAATAATTAAAAATGGGAAATTTTACATCTGATTTGATTGAGTAGCCCGCGACTAAGAACCTGGTTCTTTTCCAAGTTAGCCTAAACAGGTTCTTATATAAATGGTAGTTGGGGTGTTAAGGCACTAACGTCTTAAAAGAGGATTCTGAATGTTAACTTTTCTTTAATGCCAAGGTGTACATAATTTCTTTTACAGATTTTAGAAAATAAGAACCTGTTTCAAATTTTAGGCTAAACAGGTTCTTATATAGAGGGGGCGCGGCTTAACTGGCAAATTTTAGTCTAACAGGTCCTTAGTCGGGGGGTTTTATTGTACTTATCATGAGCATACAATGAAAACTTACAACACCTAACCAATCGAGGTAAGGCCGCGAACTCACAACCTCGTCCAGGGGATCTTGTTTTCTCGTATGGCAGTAGTACAGGCAACAGAGTACGGGGGTACTCCTGGGAATTCTTCTCTAAGTCTGGACCCTATTTCAGACCAAAAAATATCATTTTCCACACCCGTTTTCAGACCAGACCTCTTAAATCCATGGGGCGTTTTCAGACCTGGCTTTTAAGAAGAAATTATGTTATCATTACGTAGGTTAGAGCGCAAAAAAAAAAAACAAAATTCTTCAAATTCATTTCGAATTCGTATATTTCTCTTTCTTTCTTACTCATTTGGAATTGAAACGATAAATACGTTCATACACTCCCGTAGTTCCCTCAAAAACCATACCCGATTCCAGACCAAACTGGGCAAAGTGTATACCCGTTTTCAGACCAAAACGGCGCAAAAACCCTAGCCGATGGGGCGGCACATACCTATATACAGGGTGTCCCAAAAGTTCGTTCCCCTAATTCATAAGTCTGTTATGCAGTACGACTGGACTTGATAAGAAAATAGTTTAAACAAAAGTTGTGTCTTTCAGTCTAGTTTAATATTTCATACTTGTGCCATTTTTTGACTAGAATATTCGATTTGCGCACTTTCGGGCCAAAGGTACGCGTGCGAGAGTAAATTTTTTCCGCCATATATTTTTTTGTATTTTGCATCCCGAATTGCTCGAACTCCTCCCTTGCTTTTTTGTGAATATCACGAAAGATATACCCTCTCAACGCAACACCACTCAGCTACGTGAGAGCATGTATACTTCGATTTACTGCCTTATCAGTTAAAGAAATTAATAAAAAAATCGAAAAATGCGAATGTTGGGTGGTAAGATGGTCATCGAGAAATGAGGGTTTTAAAGACAAAAAACGAGAAGCCCAAAAGTCCTGAATAAAACCGCTTAAATAGTTTAAAAGAAGGTTAGGTACAAAAGAGGAAACCCGGCGAGGGAGCTCTTACAACAGTTGGCAAGCTAGGTCATGAGCAGGTTCATGAAAAGCAAAGTTTGGAGACCTTTGAGATGGCAAAAACAACCTCTACTCAGTACACCAAGAAACGTTCAGCTTGTCTCAAATTTTTCAAAGAAGTACAAAAGCCTTACAGTGGAAAGAGGCCGGGATGATTATCTTATCTAGGATTCATGCCTAAAATATCTTTTTTTTCAGCTGCCTAATCTAAAAAATAATATTGTTTGGGGGTTGAAGTGGCTCCTGCATACTAGGTGATAAAAAGGCTTAAAATGAATCATGTGCGCTACGCGCTAGCTCTCTACGCGCTATATGACTTATTCCACTCAATGTCGCAACCGCCACAGAGTGTGATAAAAAAGCAAAAAAAGCATGCCGGTCACTGAACGTCTGAACACATGTACCCGATAAAGCAATAAACATTTTTAGAAATTTCATGTAAACATAAAGTTTTGATCAAAAGTTTTGGCTAATGAAATTAGAGGAACGACCTTTTGGAACACCCTCTTGCTTATATAAGGGAGTACCCCCTCCCCCGGGACAGAGCCCTTCGCCAACGAGCTTGATTAACGACGCTAACAATAAGAGCTAACGGCAGATTGTCAGGGGACCATCCACTAAAATAATACAGCCTACTAGCTGACCCTTCGTTTTTAAGTCGACAATAAGTAATAGCGTGTTTTCATATCGTGTGTCACGGCGAAAAGTCAAAAATGCTGGACAATCCACAGTCACATTTAGGTATATCTTACAATCTAGACACGCTTGTTTTTCGCTGTCTTTCTTGTACTATTAGAATTGAAAGTTAATCAAATATTGCATCCTCTATGACACCCAGGGCATCAAAACTCCTCCGCAATTCTTCAAGTTCTTTCCTGGTATCTTTCTCAGTTTCTAAAGTCCTTTCCTGAAAAAGAAGTTTTCAGTCAGAAAAGTACCTTAGAATTTTCGAAAATACACACACACGCTATGGTACAGTGCTAAAGGTTACCCACACTTTCATGTAAGTTGCCCAGTCTACAAATTGATCAATTAACACGTATCTCAAATTGCAAAAGACAATACAGATAAATGTATCTTAAGTGAACCCTCAACTGATACTTAAGTACTAGTTAAACTTAACTTTAGACCTATTCCAGATTAAGAATTATATAAATCTCTCAAGCTCCATTGTACTAAAATTGAGCTTCTGCTAAATCCTTTTTTCAGTAATCCAATAAAACTGAAAGTTCATTTTCTACAAGTGGTTAGCTCTGTCAGACCAAACTGTGTAAATTTCATCCAAATTCAAAACATCAAAGCACGATCAACGCCAAGGTCTCCAACTTATAAAAACTGACTTCGTCCATGATATGTCATTTCTACCGTACGTTGACTGTATTTAATACGATAACAGCCTCACACAGGTTCAGTGTCCTTTAGAATGTACCCTAAAATTTGCTGAACAGGATATTTGCAAAGGATCGAGAAGACACTCGTATTATCATTATCACGCACGGCAATAGCAGTTAGCTTTGTGATGAAGCCAGCTCTAGCATGGTACTATTCGCTAAAGCTGGTAAAATAAGCTTGGACAGCTCGACCGTAATAGGGCCAATAATTTTCCTGTGAATCTTTCTAACACCGGCAGTTTATCTGTAGACAATATAAATTCAACGACCTCATTGAATGTTGGCCCGGTCCCTTGGGGTGTTACAAGCCGAGGTAATACTTGACCTCTCAGAGGTTTTTTCCCAAGCCACTACACCTTTTGCTGTTCATTACGAGAAAATACGCAATCATTTGCGTGAAACGGCGACCAATAGTGCGAAGATACATTCATTAGCGCGAAAATACGAACATTTGCGCATAAGTCAGAGTCAATTACGATTTTTGCATTTTAATCAACACTCAATAGCACTTTTGGGCATTCATATGCGTCATTGGGCATACAAAAGAGAAAACTATACTTTCATTAACGCCAACATTCGAGTCATTAACATTATCTTGAAAGTCAATAGGGACAACTGACATACATTAAAGTGCAAACACTAACACTAACATTAACATTTGTATGACACTGTTTGCAATTCAACAGCATTCCTGGACAACCTTAGGATGGATAAGACAAACATTAATGGGCTTGTACAATCAATTGAGTGTTCTTTACA